GTGTAAAATGTATAAATTTAATGGCAGAAAATAAATGTGAAAAATGTGTGGCACTTGCGAAATAACGGCGGAAAAATTTGTTCACCGCATTCTCACTGAAAATTTTCATGTGGGTCAAGGGGTGTCAGTCAGCAGCCATCCAAGCGTGATAGTCTCAGGCTCGAATCACACATGCAGCAGAGGAGCCGCATGGAGACGGAGTCGAGACGCACACTTCCCATTTGTGTGAGATCTGGCAGTTGGATGCTTGTAGTGGGTGATGACGTTGTGTGATGTTGGTGGGGGAAGATGTGATGGTGTGGCGCGGCCGGCGGTTATCCACCGCAGGTTTTCCTGAATGAACATGTGGCTTAACGGGCCCACGTGGTGGGTGAATGTGCGGTGCAGCGAGGGCAGTTGCGATGGGTGTAGTTGGGTGCTCCAGGCACTGGTTCGACAGTCTCCGTGCGATCGATTCGCAAGTGACCGGCGAGGCCGATGCGTGGGGCGAATGTGTGAGGACAGTGTGGGCAGGACAGATCAATGGCGTCAGGGTCGGTTTCATTGGTGGAGCTGCTGGTAGGGGGCGCGGTGGGCTTGGGTTAGGCTTGGTGGGCGTGCAGGATGTGCTAGGTGTTTAGCAACTGTGGTGACTTCCGCTCTCGTTGGTACGCATGTGACCTAAAAGGCCCATGCGGCGAGTGAATGTGCGGGGGCGGTGTTGGCGGTGATGAGGTTGACGATTGTCGATGCGCTGGGATTGTGTGCAGTGGTGGTGAGTACAAGAGCCGCCGTAGCGGATGTTGCCCAGGTAGGTGAGTTGTCCACGGCTTGCAGTTTGGCGCCGTTCTAGTTGATGTGCAACGTAGGCAACGTCGGGTGGCGGCTGATGCATAACTACCGTCTTCTCCTTGTTGATGATTAGGCTGAAGTTGTCGCAGGCGGCGACGAAGAGGTCCATGCTCGTTTGCTTGTCCCCTTCCGGGATGATTTTGGGGGCGCAGTCGCCGGCGAAAAGGAGTTCATGGACGGTAGTTGTGGATACACGCGACTGAAATCGCATCCACTGCTGATTGAGGAGTTGGACGTCCATCCTGTAAGCGACACGGATCCCGGGTCGTTCGTCACAGTAGGCGTCCATCAGCATGGCAGAGAACATAAGACTGTAGAGGATGGGCGTGAGGACGCAGCCCTGTTTCACTCCGTTGGCCACCGCGAATACCTCTGAGTCGGCTCCATTGTCCGTGACTTGCGCTATCATGTCGTCGTGGAGCTGACGCACCATCTGAGTGAATCGCTCGGCACTGCCGAATTTCTGAGTGATTTTCTACAGTCCTTCGCGATTGACAGTATCGAAGACTTCCGTCAGCTCCACAAAGGATCCGCATCTCCTGACAATTATCCTTGCTTGCTTCAAATTCATTCCGGGGAAATATTCATTCAAATTATCCTGCAGTTGCCGGACGGCGAAGATCATGTCGGTGGTTCTACGATGACAACGGAAGCCGCACTGGTTGGAGAGAAAGGAGCAAAGATCATACCGTCGAAGTTCAGCAAGGAGATGCGTCGATGGTTGTCGGAGATTTGGCGGTTCCCTTTCCGCTTATGGAGATGGACAGTTGTGGCGTCTTTGGAAATCTGGGGACTCCTCTCTGACGTCACATCTCCTGGAAAAGCGCCGTCAGGTATTCCATAAGTTGGATGACACCGTGTCTGTAGATCTCAGTAGGGATCACGTCCGATCCGGGCATTTTTCCGCCGGAGGACTGCTGAACGGCCTTGATGGTTTCGTGTAGAGGGGCAGAAGATCGAGGTCGGCGTTGGTCTGCTCTTGAGGCAGTCGGGCGATGACGATGTCGGAGACGGTGGAGGGGTAGTTGAGGTTGCCTCCGAAGTGTTCGGCCAATCTCTGGAGAATTCGCACCTTCTCAGTGAGTAGGGTGGTTCCGTCGGCGCTGAAAATAGGAGCGGTTCCTTTGGCTGTGGGACCGTAGACACATTTGATCGCGGGGAAGAAGTTCTTCCATTCGTTTCAATCCGCATATACTTGGATCTCCTCGGCCGTGCGAACCGTCCTCACTTAATAAGGCCTATGTTGTACTGATGATCGGTAACGACCGAGAAACGGCTGTCCGTGTCTGACCTGTTGCACTCTTAGCGAGCTGCCTATGTATTCTACATCTCCCGCAGTCGCTGGTGCTTAAGGCGGCGATTACGGTAGAAGGCAAGTTGTTGTTGTCAGTAGGAAGGTTAACGTAGGCTTCCTGCAGCCGGTTCTTCTCGGCGAGCAGGCTGCTGATGGTGGGGTCGTTGTTTGGCAACGTGCGCGATCAAGGGCATCTAGGGCGGTTGACTGGACCGTGTCCCTCAGCTGAAACCATCGGTTGTCCGTGGAGACATTCTCGTCGGCGGCGGCTAATGGAAGCTTTGCTAGCCTTTGAGCCAGTCCATTGTTGAAATGAAGATGGTGACCAGGTGGAGACAACAAAGCAATATTTGAATTACCTGGGAGTCGCCTACCTCGAGGTCTCCTGCGAGGTTGTAGGCGAATCGTCATCTTGGAGATGTCGAAGCGATGATCGGTCCTCTCATCGGCACCCGAGATCGCCTTTGTCGCGCTGGTAATGCCTCCGAACGAAGACATGGTCCATCAGGTGCCAGTGTCGCGACTGGGGATGCATCCAAGTGGCCTTCTCTCGCGTCGGAAGGCGGAAAAGGTGTTAGTAAGGATGAGGCGGTGTTCTGCGCAGGTTCGTGCCGCGCGTTTCGTCCCGGCGCGGGCAATGAAGTCGCCAGTTTTTCCGTGTTAAATACAAATGTCATGAAGTCTTGGTGGTCCTTGTAGGATTTGTTCTTTACCGCATCGGCGCGTGTCATTGGGGGAGCGTAGACGTTGACGATGCTGGCGAATTTGCCTCCCCAGAGAGGCAGGCGGAGGCTCATCAGGCGATCCTTGGTGTCCTGCGACAGAGGGGGCAGTCGTCTCACGATGTCGTTTCGGACGGCAAAAGTGGCACCTGCGTCCCGTCGCTCTGCCCTAGGGCGAACGCTCTAGAAGAAGGTGCAGCCGGCGCCCACCTCCTCTAGTTGGTCTTGTTAGGAAAACCGGGTCTCGCTGAGTGCGGCGATGTCCACCTTATGGCGCGCCAGTCCACGAGTCACTAGCGCTGTCCTCCATTCCGGCCGGTTGTTCCCGAGATTGTTTAAAAGGGAACAACCATTAGGCGCCAAGTAATGAGGCCAAAAGACCCGCTGCCACGGCAGGAAACGTCTGGAGTCGTTTACCGGATCTGGTGTAGTTGCGGACAAAGCAATTATGTCGGAGAAACTGGGAGATTACTCCGTACGCGACTTGCCGAGCACGCAGCAGCAGTGAGGCGGGGAGACGCTAACTCTCAGGTGGCGGCACACTCGACGGGACCCGGCCATAATTTCAAATTTCAAGAGGCCGAAATCCTCGCAAGGGGTGACAACCGCGTGAGCCGCGAGCTGCTCGAGTCATGGTTCTCAGGCCCGCAATCCATCAACAAACACAATGACCTCCCGGTGGCCTATTCCGTTTTGCGATTTTCCCTGGGCAGGAGAATCAGTCACGTGGGGAGGGCGCGGGTGAGCAATTATCACGGTGACAGTGAGCCAGTTTGCCGAGCAATCGTCACACCAGCATCGAGCACGGATGACGAAATCGCGGCAATTAACAACTCGGACTCGGACCGCCAAGCCACCGCCGCATCAATTACGACCCCAGCGGCGATTGTGAGAACTGTTAATTGCAGTGCGCATACGGTCCCACGGCAGCCACGTGCTATAAATACTGCATTCCTGGTGCCACCTTTACCTCTATCTGCGAATGCCTCTGATGATGGGCTCGAGTGAGAACCCGAAACGTCAGGCCAATAAACTTCTTGTCCCAGTGATCGCATCTTCATCTTCTGAGGGAACGAACATTTCAGGCTGCCAGAGTGAGCGGACTCACCCTACCTGTCTGTGGGGCGGATCGTTTGGTAGGAGGAAGGCAAGAGAGAGAGTATGGCTTCGTGTTTGATTGTTTCGACCGCGTGTTTTGTGTCTGCGAGCCTTGGTCATCGCGCAGATGGCGTGATCTCAGCATCTGCTTAGGACACTGCGGGGGTAAGCAAACCTGTCCCTAAATAGGGCTGTTTAGACATTCTAGACGGCTGCCGAACTCCATCATGGGTCACGACTTTGTTTAGCGGGAGAACGACCCGAGTTAGCTTGGGTCGCCAACGTGCTTATGACCCATCTGTTAGACCCCAGTGATGGACAATCTGCGCCAAGTCTAAGCTGGTGGTCAGAGTTATGGTTGACTGAATGAAGGCAAAAAGCCCGAAACAGTTCTGTATCAGTTTACCCCCAGACCTGCCTCAATGGACTTCTAATTCAGAAACTATGAATTGCATTTTGTAAAGATTCGGCCTACCTCGTCTAAAACTCGCATGTAAATTTATTTTAACTTGCTTTGATGGGACCCCGACGGGTCTTTAATAAAAATTATCTATCTATCTATCTATCCCCTCTCTGATATGTTTATATATAGTGGTGGAGGGGCGCTCACTGATAGTTTTTACGGAACTCACTCGTTACATTGGGCCTTGGGGCTCTGAGTTTTCAGTTTATTCAGTTTATTTGGTAAGGATAATAGGCAAAGCCTTTGAAAACCCTAGTGATTACATGTCAGCTCGTTAGAAATAACTGTACACAAACAATAAAAATATTCCGAAGACGAGGTGGCGAGCATACGTAGCTTTCGATAAATTCTCGTCGGGCCACTACAGTAACATAGGAACGAGGTAGAGGTAAAACATTTCAGCGAGAAGAGAAATCGATAAAAGTTTTCCTTAAAACACAGACGGGACGTGGGAATGTGGGGGAGGGGGGGGGGTAGGTAATAGTAGTCATTGTCAGGGACGAGGTGAGAGCGGAAGTGCGCGGGGGAGTTGCACCGTTAGTCGACCTTCGACCACTGTAGGCGCGGAGCCTGAACGTGGTTTTTCTGTGCGCATAAAATATGCTTTCGTAACCTAATGGCGGCCGCTTCCGCTGTCGCTAACAGGCGCTGGCCTAGTAGCTTAGGGTAGCTCGATGGGACCTTATAAATCACACGAAAACCTTCGTTGGAGTCCACACGATGTCCGGAATCGACAACATGCGCGAGAATGGCGCTGCTTATAAAAATATTTGCTATTAGAACAGTACTTGATTCATTTGAGTAGCATTGTATCAGGGGAAAAATTACGGTGTCGCGGGGTATTTAGTTCAGACTCAGACTGCCGAGGGAAAACAGGGGACACAAATAATCATCTAAGCGTTTCTTGAAGAGTTGCAGAGACGTTGCCTCCACGACTGACTGAGGGAGATCGTTCCATTTCTCCACTACCCTTTGCGTGAAAAATTTAGAACGATGATTCAGCCTGGACATTGTTGTCCGTAGCTTCATCGAGTGACCACGAAGATGGGGTGAAAGGTACCACAACCCCCCTGCTGCTGTCACTCGTCAGCCGTGTAAGCCTAAATGAAGATTGGTTAACCCTGCCTCGGTCTACAGCGGTCGCATCTCAACTGTTGGAGACGGTGACAATCTAAGTGAGGCAACATGTGGACTGTAGGGATATAACCTGCTCAAATAGATAAAGTAGGTATTATTTCTAGGCAAAGGATATTTGGGTGCCATCTCCCGATTGTTACCGAAACATGTCCTCAAAGCTATGTCTCTCTCTCCCTCTTGGGTCCACCACCAGCCGCACAGCGGTGCGTGATGTATGGGCAGAATGGCATTGCCGAAAAGGACAACGGAAACTGGAATGGCCATTTCTGGCTAATCAGTAGTCGTCGGCCAGCCGCACCCAACTCCGAAATGCGGGACACCTGGGGCTCGATCTCCTGACCTGTTGGTTAGAAGTCCAACGCCTCGAACCACTGAGCTAGGAGTTCGTTGTCCTGTCGTTGCGCCGGTGGGTGCCGATCTGTTGGCTTCTCGAAGCAAACAAGCTACATATGGGTGGTAAGGGTCACGAACAGGTCATCAACAGGGAAATTCCTGAGCATATTTTCCGTTCCACGACCATGCCATATAGTTAAGCACCACTACTCAGTGGTTGTGGATCCAAATAAATCAAACACTGAAAATACGGGCACAGTTCTATACCCGAGTGAACAGACGACGGCCACAAGAAGAAAAACCCAAAGTCTGGAGGGCTATTCCTTACATAAAAGGAGTCTCCGAGGTCGTTTCACGGCTATTACAACCTGCCAGGGGGAGGGGCTCAACCATCGGCCCCAGGCGACAATTCGTCACTGTCTGATGTAACCCCAAGACATACTGCCACCCACTGAGACCTCAGCGGTTGTCTATCACATACGTTGTAACGATGGGGACTGCAAATACATTGGGAAAACCGAGCGGAAATCGCAGATCCGCCAATATGAGCACAAACTGGCAACTCAGAGATTAGACCCAAGCTCATAGCTTTCGACTCACATCGGAGAGACTAGCCACAATTTTGACTTTCAATGAGCAGTTGTCTTGGGCCGAGGCACCTCAAGGACAGAGCGTCTCACAATTGAGGCTTGGTACTCAGATGCCAACTACATCGACAGGCATATAGACCTTCCTGCGGTCCCTAAAGTCCTGCGTCACTACACACGCCATGACCAGGACAAGACAGTCATACGGAGCTTAAGAATGCCGAGCAAACATGGCCTGTCGACTAATTCACCCAAAGGAGGGACACAAATGCAACTAGCCCCAGTTGAGGTGACGACACACAACACAGGAGACCGCCAACACTCATAAACGACGGCCAGTAGGCCAAGGCAACAAACGAAAAAAAAAATTCGATCAGCCCAAGGCCAATCAATTCGGCTGTCTATTCGAAATTCTGGTCGGTTTTTGCGCTAAACGCTTTGACAATTGAGAGCCGGCCACGCTCTTCGAAACGTCAGCAAGACAATTCCTTCGATCACGGGAGCAATTCTTTTGTTACAGTTCTGCACTGTTGGTGGCACCGGAGTGGCTCACTTGGATTTCCGAACGCGAGATCTGCTCCACTTGCGTTGGAATAAATCAAAAACACGGAAAACAGGTTTAACTACCAGTCTTGGATTGGTGAACAAAACATACATGATTGACAGTGAACACTGAGGGGTGTAAATTGGGGACACAATCATCTAAACTAGTTGGTCAACCGATCGAAAACACACCGTCTGGCAGCATCAGAGTGCCTCTTCCAAGCGTCATAACCCGCAACAACGAAGTGGTGCGATTGGTGACCCGAACAGCAATACCGGAATGAGTAGACAAGTACTACATGTGCCAGTCCACCTGACCGCGGATGTATAAAAGATGCAAATAAAGATTAATTTGAAATCTGACGCATGAATTATTCCAGGGAACTTATTGACGCTGCGGGAATGTAGATGTGGCAACGGCTTTTGCGATCTTGTATATCACAATAACTGCCTCTACCACCCATACATTCCACTGATTGCCTAGAACCTTTGGCAATTATTTAAAAATTGTTCCCAGTTTCGATCCGAACCAACAACGATAACGGTTTTACTGAATCCCCGTGGGCATTGGGCGTGTAAATGTAAAATAACCACTAAATGTCCGGGCCCGAAACA